TTTTTTTTTAACAGTTTAATAAATGTAAAATCATTGCCAGTGTTATCAGTTGCAAGTGTGTATTTGTTGTAATAATGACGAAAACATAATAGGCAGATTTCACAGTAATTATAGGCTGTGTGTGTGTGTGTGTGTGTGTGTGTGTGTGTGTGTGTGTGTGTGTGTGTGTGTGAGACCAGGTGTCCCGCTTTTTGTGGGACTGTACACACAGCATTTTTATTNAGGCTACAGCAGGAAGACAACATTTTCACCATCCAAATCTATGCTACCACCATATTTAGTAAACCACACATAAGATGAAGTAAGTCCATATACACAGCAAAGAAAAAGAATATGCCGGAAATAAAAAAAACAGGATGTCTTGCATTCTGCCAATCTTAGAGAATAATAGATTACAAGCAACAGGATTGAAGCATGTCACAGTATAATCCTTACAATTAGAATAATAGAGCCCATTTAATTGCATCCAACAGCACATTGTTAGGGCAGCGGCAGTACTGTATGTAGGTGACCAAATCCACCTGCCGGCACCTTGAAAGCTCAATTAACAAACGTTATACCTTTTTCCAAACTATTCCTTTAAAATATCACTGAATAAGTTTGCATTGTTGAAAGTTCATCATAGTTGTGTTTCCTTTTGCAGAAGGGCTGGGTTCAGAAGGGCTGGGTTCAGAAGGGCTGCACATGTTAGCAAAAATAATCACTGGAGGAGTATTTGTGCTGATAGTAGGCACCATGCTGGCCACAACTCTCTTCCTCATCAGAAAAAGGTGTGTGTGTGTGTGTGTGTGTGTGTGTGTGTGTGTGTGTGTGTGTGTGTGTGTGTGTGTGTGTGTGTGTTATATATTATGGAGGAGTATACAACATGATGTGTTGAAACGTTCTCCATGACTAAGAGGTTTACAACATGAGGTATAGCGAGTAAATCAGCATTAAAGTTAACATTTAAGAAAGAATAACATCTTCATCGTCTACAGTCGTACTGAAGAAGACTATTAAACTCGCTGTACTCAGTCTAGTCAAAACTTTAATTCATCAGCTTTTAAAAAAGTGGAAGAAAATTCCCTTTAAACATCAGGAAGTACTGTAAGATCGTGACAACTGATAACTATTAATTGCACAGAGAAGAGGTCTTGCAACGCATCTGAACAAAAGCCACTACTTCCTATTATTTGTATTTCTAAAGAGCACATTTTTAAAAAAGGTTATTTCTCAGAGTTATAGTTCCTTGTTTGTCTGTCTTTCAGATACGGTCCAGTGCCAAGAGACTGAACGAGAGGAGGTGAGCTGGGAGATGGTTTCAGGCCACAGCTTAACATGACTTTTTGAATTAGTTTGAACATTTACCCCAAAAAAAGCATTAAGTTCTTTGTCTAAAGAAGTTAATGCAAATAACAAAAGCAAGGTCCTTAAATAACACATAAGTGTGTTCTACTCTGATGTCAGGCTCAAAGTATGCACGGATGTCAGTCAACATACAAAGACTGGAAAGTGTTTCAAAGTCATAATATAGATGTCTTTTTTTCTTTTACAATTGGACACTATAACTTAAATGATTTTGTAATCATTCAGCAAACTTATCACATCCTCCCATCAGTAAGTTAACTGCTCCTGAAAGTACAAGTCCATGTTATTCTATATTTTTTGACAAATCCCATAAAAAGGCAAAAAGCAGGGCTTTCTTTGTTGCCAACTCAAACATGATTTAACGCTGCATTGGTTGGTGAAATATTTGCATCTGTGGATTAATACAAATAAGGGAGATTTTACAGCTGCATTTCGGTGTGTGAGTACTCAAAATACGGTACCACTTTACAATAAGACTTATAAAAGGTTTACGAATAGTTTTTAATTTATTTATTAATTAGGTTGTGAACACTTTATAAATTATTAATAAGCTTTTATAAGACATGAGATAAACAGGGCGACTGTGACCGGTTGCTTGCCAAATAGTGAGCCCACATGTGTCTGTACTGCTAAGCCTCATAGTGGCTGCTTAGCTTACTTCGTCTCCTTCATCAGCCAGCATCCTTGGTATCTGTTGCTCACTGAGTGGATTCTCGCTAAGTAGCCAACATAAGGCTTAGTCATCTTGCCAAATAGTGAGCCTGTATTGATGTATGTATGAAAACTATGTTAGAACTGGTTTAAAAATGGTTCTTAATGATGAATAAAGGTTTAGGTTTTCAACCTAATTCATAACCTAATTATAAACCCTTTATGAATCCTTTATTAGGGTAGTCTTATTGTAAAGTGGTACCGACTTTTCTTATATTACGTGTTCTGTGTTTTATTGGCTGATTTAAAGGTCCCATGTCATGGCCATTTCTACTGATCATAATTCCATTGTTGAGGTCTACTAGAATAGATTTACATTGTTCAATGTTCCAAACTCACATTGGTTTCTCAAACAGCATCTCTGTATAGTATGTGTATTCACTCTCTGTCCTACACGCCTTGTTGGAGCTCCTGCCCCTCCCCCCCTGGGTGTGTGTGTGTGTGCGGAGCCGTGGCTGAGAAAAGATAAGGCTGAATGAGTGTGTGTGAGGAGCTCCGCGGATTGGTCCATTTGGACCTGGGTTTCGTTACGACACTATACTGAGGAAGAAAACAATGGAAAAAGAGAAATGTCCAACGAGGCGTTCTGGGGCAGCATAGACAGGTCTTCTCTGTGTTAGAGTTTTACTTGCTACAGGGTGTACTTTGAGGGTTTGTGACTCTGCAGACCGTTTACATGCAGAACGACCTTCATAACACACAAGGGGACGGGTAATAACCGGAAAAGCATGACATGGGACCTTTAATGATCAATAGAACCCCCCAGGGGAAACCTGAAAATCAGCTTAATAGGGCCCCTTTAAAGTATGTAAACATATCCTGAGAATGAACAAAATGTGTGCCCTTTAGGTAAGAAGATGT